GATGTACCGAATCGGACGCTCTTGCCACGATCTGTGTTCTCCCAAGCCTTCTTGGTGATTCAGATGTCAGTTAAAGTTTGAGAATTACTACTATAGGCCGACGGCTTTCAAGCCGTGGCTCCGTGGGGCTGTAGGGTCTCTCTTTGGTCACTTTGGGGAACTGAAGGAGCAGAACAAGCAATTCCCAGCCGTCTATTCTGTGACTTGATTTATTTTGAAAAAATTAAAATGTTTCTTTGGTTAAAGAAAACCAGTTCCAAAACTGCCAACATAGTCCAACTTTCTCATTTTTCAGGGCGAAAACCCAAGTCCCATAGAGGGGAGGGGCTTAGCCAAGGCCACAGGCCAGCTACCAAGGTCTCGGGACGAGACCAGGCAGGGGAGCGCGCTCACACCCTCAGCACCCCTTCCTCCGCAGCACTGGTATGTGTCCCTTTCTTTCACAGGTTGACGCCCTACGAGTGGTACACACCCCACCCGTGTGCCCAGGGCCGGTGCAACCTCCTGGTGAATCAGTACTCCCTCGGCAACAGCCTCTGGTTTCCGGTCGGGGGCTTCATGCAGCAGGGCTCCACCATCGCGCCTCGCGCCTTATCCACCCGCTGCGTCAGTGGCGTCTGGTAAGATCCTGGGTCCTCCGATGAGCCCTGATCCAGCTTCCGGTAGGCAGGAACCTCAGCTCTGCCCTAGGACAGCCTCTGCCAGCTCAGAGGGTTTGGGGGCAGTGGGTGGGTGCGCTTTGTGCCATCTTTTCTCCTCTGTTCTCTGCCTTGGAGGTCTAGATGCAGAGGGGAGCCAAGGCAGGAAAGGAGACGGAGTGAGAAAATGCCTTGACGGCCCACAGCAAAGCAGTTATAACTTCCTGACCTGAAAACGACCAGAGGTTGAGAGGCAGGGCCTGTGAACACATATGCAGATTTATGCAAATGTAAGCATGTAGCAGGAAGTCCCTGCAGGAGAAATCCAAGCCCATGCCCCCTCCAGCAGCTTTCTGGAGCTTTGCCCCTCTGCACCTGGCTCTGGGGGCCTGCTGGACCTGTCCACCTTAGCAGGTGTGGGAAAACGCAAGCTGTTAGTAGCTCAGAGGTGGACAGGACCTCAGGGAGCAAGTTGCCATCATGGTCCACACGGACAGTCAGCCAGCCTCATTGGCTCCTCTCCTCAGCCCGTGTAGCCAGAGGAAAAGGAAAGGGACATGGGTGCTGGGGACAGTGTGGGATCTGGACAGTTACCTAGGAGCCACTGGACTGGGGCTGATCGGCAGGTGGAAACACAGCTGGGACTGATACAGTAGGATTTAAACCCTTGGGGCAAGGTGCTCAGCCATTATCAGGTTGTGCCCAGGAGTCACTGAGCGGATCACTGTGGAGAGCTCGGTCTCACGTTCCCTGACAGAAAGGATGGTCTTGTCAGGCACAGCCACAGAGCTCCCTCAAAATCCAGGAAATCTGAGCAGAAACCCATAGATGAGAAGTCAGCTGCAGATTCTGATCCCTTTCTACTTGGGCTTTTCCTTCCAGAGGTGCTTGTTCCCATGTGCTGCACGTAGGGCTCCACTGCCTGCTTCCTTCACCTGTCAGCTCCCACCCCCAGGAATTCCCTCCTCCAGCGAATGTCTGCCCCGGTGCTGAGGGGAACCACCTGTTCTGCAGGCTGTCGGCTCAGCCCACTGGCTCAGCAGTGCTTTAAATAGCTGGCCCCAGGTGGCTCGGTTACCCTGCTCCAGAGCGTCTGTGGAAGGGAGGCTCGGCCCTTCCCAGCCCGACCCAGGGGTGTTGGTGCGCCCCTCTGCCTCTTGGAATTCTTGGTTATAAAATCAGGGCCTCAGTTAGGTTGGCTCCCTGGGGAGTGGGAGGTCAGAAAACAGGGCCATCGTGGCCTACCGTGGCACCCTCACCCAGAGCAAGCAACGGAAAATGCCACGTTGCCGAGAATGCCAGCTTCACAATGATAATGCCCCTTTCACCCAGGAGCAAGTCTCCACTGGCCCCTCTGGAGGGAGAGTGGGCATGATTTGCTTTGTCAGCAAAGGTGACGGGCTTGCAATGAGCTACTTACTCTCTCTGATCTGTCCTTTGTGACCAGTGGCAAAAACAGCCACATGGCTGCCCAGGGCGGAACAGATGCCAGAGTGTAGCCATGGGGCTGGGGGAAGCTCCCCAGCCAGCTCTGAGGTCACGTCCACACCCAGGGCCCATTAACCCACGACAATGTGGCAGAGCAACTTCCGAATGCACGCCTTCACCTGGGGACCACTCATCACCACCACCCCAGCCTCCTCTGGGGGAAGCTCATGAGAAACAACTTCCAAGAGAGTGTAAGAGCCCAGGCAGGAGCAAGGAGAACAAGTTTTGCAGATGGAGGGACTCCTGGCCCTTACAGGTCACAAGTAGGAAAGGTGGACAAATGATTTTCGCTGCATCTCTACATGTCTCTGTATCTCACACTCATCTCATCCTTTACAGATTATTAGTCACTAATGACGTATTATCTCACCCGATCTCACAACACTCCAAAGACAGGTGGACCAGACATTATTATCCCCCATTTATTAGACAAGCAAATGAGCTCAGAGGAAGTGCGTGGCTTTTCCCCAAGGTCTCACAGGTGGAACTGGACAAAGCCAGAACTAAAACCAGATCCCTTACTGGTGATCTGGCACGTGTGGATGTGCTCATCAAGTTGATGGATCCCCCTGTTCCTTCACTCCTCGGAGGCAGCCTGAAGGAATTCTTGGACACGTGGCAAAGGGGACAATGGGACTTCCTGCTCTTGGAAATCCACCTGGAAGCTGCCGGCTGCTGCAGCCCCTGGCAAACACTATGCCTTGGTTGGCAATGTCTTCATAATGAGTGAAGCCTCATTAATTCAGACTCCACTGATTCAGAATTTGGCAATTATCCAACCTCAGTTGTGCTTACATATATCTTTGGACCCCTATAAACAAATGGATTAGGAAGCAGATCCATACTGCTGACCAGATGGTAGGAGTCTTGTTTAACCTACTTAAGTGTGCAAACTGGTTTTAATGACTTTAGCATGTGTGCTGCCTGAGTTGCAAAACTATTCTAATTTTAAATAAGTCCGATCTGCCCAATAAAACAACCTTCCATTCTGAAATAGCATGACCATTGTAAAAGCATTTTCTAATTCCAACTTCTCAGCAGTCCGAAGGTGCTTTTCACCAGTTCATCTTGAAGAGTTTCTGCTGTTACAATTTGTAGAACTGGGTTTAGAATACAAATTTCTCAGTTACTCGGCCACGTGACTTTGCTTCTCTGAGCCTCGGTTTTCTCTTCTGTAAAATCAGGATAAGATTTTCACCTCCCTGAGTTGTAGGGAGTACAGGAGACAGTGGGTGTGGCTCACAGTAGGTGCTCAGTACGTGGCGATGCTGCTCTGAACGTCGGCTGCATCATGACGGGGCCGCGGGAGGCATCCCAGCTCTAGCTCTGAACAGAGCCTCCAGGGCTGGCACCCTTAGCTCATTCACTAGCTCATTGCTCACTGTCTCTCAAGCTGTCTCATGTTCATGGACACACTTCTTTTGAGTAGAGACCCAATAATCACCTCCTTTAGGAAATAAAAGAAAGAAAACCACCGTCTTCTTCTAGGCCACCCTCCCGAGCCGTTCATTTCTGTTGACATCAAATGCCCTGCCTCCTTTCTCTTCCCCCACTAAGCCCCTCAGAGGAGGGCCACCTGGTCTCTCCCGTGTCGCAGCAGGACTGGAGATGGGGTTTAAGGCTCCTGGGCTGCCCCGGCAATGATGACGTCTTGGTCTTTTCCTACATAGGTGGGCATTCACGCTGATCATCATCTCATCCTACACGGCCAACCTGGCAGCCTTCCTGACCGTGCAGCGCATGGATGTGCCCATTGAGTCGGTGGATGACCTGGCTGACCAGACTGCCATTGAGTATGGCACGATTCACGGAGGCTCCAGCATGACTTTCTTCCAAGTAAACCCATATGGTTGCTCACCAACATTAGGAATCGGGCAGAATAAAGTTGAGATGTTTGTCCACTGGAGATAAAAACATCTTGCCTCATCCCATCATACCTTTTGAGCACCTAGTTTGGAGGTTCTCATGGGGCTCATTTTTCCCCTGCTCCCCCAAATACCCATGGAACCAGGTCCCCAAAGCACTTGGGTTAATATCAGCCTTGCCCCAAAGTGTTATACATGAATGGTTAGTGCTACTTGAGATGATTTTAGTGGTAGAACTATTTTTTAATTGCAGTGGTTTCATATTTATTGTAATGAGTGTTAGAAAAAAATATGCAGTGACTCTAACCTGTACTTTTATTTATATTTCTGCATAAGATGAGGCTAATGTACACATTTAAATTTTTTAAGTAGGCTACATTTTATAAGTAGTGCTTAGACAAAGCGAGATTGGAGTAATGCACAAATGACTAACGTGTAAGGAACTTTAGATCAAGCCGAGCTGGTTTCATTGATCCCAGACTAGATAGATCTCAGATCAGGACCCTTTTGGCTTCTCCGAGGTTCCCTTGCAAGGCTCGGGAGCCGGCCCTGCCACAATGGTGTGTCAGCTGGCAGGCTACCAAGGCAGGCAGAGCCGGGCCAGACATAGGAGTCATTTGCATTTTGCTTCAGGCTCTCTAGGGAAGCAGATTCCCCTGGAGTCAGTGAGTGTCTAACCAACCTGTGACCCAAGAAGTCCATTATCACATTAAACAAGTCCAAGGCCTTCAGTTTTCTGTTTTCCATACAAGTCCCAGGGGTACTGGCACAGGGACCAGTGAAGGCATCATGCAAACACAGGGTTTGGCTAGACCCCCAGAATTCTCTCAGTCTTGTTATTATTTGTAAACTAGAAGCCAACACTGGATATGTGATTGACGGATTAGTTTAGGGTTGACAGAGAAGAGCCGGCACTGCTCCTTCAGACGATGTCTCTTAAAAGTCCAGAATGAACCTGAGTTTGCTGCCTCTGCGCTGAAGGACAGTAGAGGACACAGCCAGAATTTCCATCTCACTTTGGCCAGAACGTGGAGGTTGGCAATGGAAGATGGGTGGATGAAGCAGAACCAATGATCGAAGCAGTAGGCAGAGTTTACACACCTTCAGACCCTGTTCCTTCTTTGTCTTTGTAAAAGGTATCAAAGGCACAACCCTCTCCTCCTGCCATTCAGCAGTGGCGTTGTGAGATGAAAGGGAACAGGTTCTTGAATATAAGGAGGGGACTGAGTAGCAGAAGGGCCAGAATTTTAGGGACCACTTGGATGCCCTCCCTTTCCAGGCCACCATCTCCTTTCTCTTTCCTCAACCTGCTTCCTTGCGTTCTTTTCCCAGAATTCCCGCTATCAGACCTACCAGCGCATGTGGAATTACATGTACTCCAAGCAGCCGAGTGTGTTCGTGAAGAGCACGGAGGAGGGGATCGCCAGGGTGTTGAATTCCAACTACGCCTTCCTTCTGGAATCTACCATGAATGAGTACTATCGGCAGCGCAACTGCAACCTCACTCAGATTGGGGGCCTGCTGGACACCAAGGGCTATGGGATTGGCATGCCAGTCGGTATGCAGGAGAGGAACAGCCTCTTCGGGTAGCTCCACCCAGGCAGGCTCAGGGTAGCTCAAACCGTCGAATGCAGCCTTGAAGTCAACAGCCCCTGTTTCTAGAACCAGGTTCACAGTGACTTGAGATGGGCATTCTTAAGGTTTTTTTAAAAAGCCAGTCCACATCCTTCCAAGTCATCAGGGATTAGTACCCAGTCCTTAATTATGGAAGGGCTAATTGATTCGTTATTAATAGATTAATTATTAAAGGGCACATGGATGCCCTTGGTGTATTCTTTTTTTTTTGCCACACCACACAGCTAGCTTGTGAGATCTGAGTTCCCCAACCAGGGATTGAACCCAGGCCCTGGGCAGTGAAAGCATCGAGTCCTGCCCTTTGGCCATTTCTCTGATGTCCGACATCTCTACTAGCAGTGGAAAGGAGATGGAAGAGATGGTAGGACTCAAGTGAATTAATTTTGCTATTAGTGTCCCTGGTGACAGGTTTACTACGAAAGGGGACTGATGTGATCGGAGGAGATGGCTTTCACATCATCTGTGGACCTCACTGGTCCATCTGCTCTGGGTCAGGTAGCTGAGAGTGGGCAGGAAAGCTCTGGTATTCACCTTGCTGACTGCGCCGTCGGTTTGTTATAGGAAGGTAGAGATGCTTGGCTTCCAGAAAGGTATCCCAGCTGTGCCTTGTAAAGAATATCCCTGCTTTAGGCCTTCCCCTGCTGATGGTTCCTCTATCAGAAGGTGCGGGGGAGCACGTATGTGACTCTGTGACTGTGGAGGAGGTCTGGAAATGTCCCCCAGTGTTTCAGACATGTACCCTTCCCACACACACCATGGAGAGCCACATTGTATAGGGCTGTCCTTGTCCAAGTCTGTCCTCATGCAAGGTTGTCCTGAAACCAAGCAGCCGGGGAAGAAGCAGGAA